GAGGAAGAAGCTATTAGGACAGCCGATGAAGTTGAGATCGCGTCGGAGAGCGGGACGATCCAGGACAGAAATCTGGAGGAAAGTGGGCGGTCTCCTAGACGGACGGCATTGGCCGCCCGGGAATCCTGGAAGAATTTGCAGCAAAGAATACTAGGGGAAGAGGTAACCGGCTTAGAGTGGGGGCGGGGGAAAGGTGAGACCCTGAGTGGGTGGTGGGGGAACGCAAACCGACTAGATCATCAAGACTAAGAGCATTCTGCCTGTTACAGAGGCGATGTGCGTGATCCGCCTACTTCTGCTGACGGATCGCGGGTTGGCGAATGAGGGAGGTATGCATATCTCTCTCTCGATGAGGTAGCTATGGCATCCAGTCACTGGAGTATAGTGGTCGGTGTGGAAGTGAGCAGTGTGGTTCAAGGAACCACGATCTGAGAAAGAAAATAAAGGTCTTGCATGACGAGCTGATGCCTCATTTGGAGGAGTGATGCAGCCCGAGATAGCAATGCTTAGGGAGCTCGCGAACAACCTCAGGGAGGGAGGGGCAGCAGTCTGGGGGGTCGGGAACCGACTCCGCCATTAGAGTGGTCTTCTCAATCTGGGCAGAAAAGGGCTGAAAGTCCTGTTCGGGACCCCCGGCAGTGATGAACTGGAAAGGTTCGACACCGCCATTCGAGACTTGGAGAGCCGACAGGGCGAAATGTTGCACTTGTTGGAGAATCAGCTGTCCTACTGCAGGACAGCAGAATGGAAACGGAGGCTGCCATGAACAGGCTATCTCCACTGCCTCCGCACGTACCTCCGTTCAGAGGCGGTGTGACTGGGGAGGCTAAATCAAACGGTGAGGAAGAAGTTTCAGTTGTTCAATCTTTCCTTATTTATGTTTCACGGGCTTAGGAACTTGGAATCCGCGGCACTCAGGCCTTATTAGAGTTAGAAGAAATAGGGGTTGGGCTAGACCGGGCAGCACGGGGGAGGTGAGTTGCTCTCTGATTTCTCCACGAGGCATAATCAGGAGATCCGGGAAGGTTTGCCTTTGGGGCTTTCCTTGCTTGCACTTCACCAGGCGGAGGTGACTGGAGTGGAGGCGGCCGGAAGAATGCATCTAGTTGTAGAGATACCAGTACGAGCCAACTACTCACGATTACGGCTGTACGGTGGGACAATTTACCTTGGATTGACGTGGTTACTCGAAGGCGGACTCGGGTAGAATTGACATCGATGGACTATCTTCTAGTCAGTGAATCACGAGACTACTAAGCCGCAGTGAGGGAAAGGAGCTCCGGAGGTTCGAGGTAGCCGCCCCATCGTCTGAACCACAATCCCTCTGGTGTCTCGCAGGACCCTTCCTGGGTGAGTACTGCCTTCTTCGGGGACACCGAAGTAATGCAGCAGCGGTGCCAGGGAGTGGTCTACGCAGATGACTCCCACTGTGACTATGGAATGAGGAGAGAGACACATGGACCTTCAGCCTGGAGGGGCCGGACAAGGTACTGCTCATGTGCCTGGATGGATGGGCCGAGGAGCGGAATTCAGCCAAAAAACCACAACAAAGTGTCCTGTCAACCGCTTCCTGTCTCAGAATTCATCGAAGAAGGAGACGACGCGAGTCAACGTAAAGCGACACTCCACTGTCTCTATCCCCAGATATAGAGGCTTTCTTTTCAGCTGGACAAAGGGCGAATCATTTCTAAATAATGATCCATCCGATGAGACTTGCGTCGCTGAACACTGCGAATCTGGCAAAGAATTTCATCGATCTCCCTATTTTTTGCGAAGTAGGGCCAAAGTGCCAAAGAGCAAGAGTGCTAATTTGTCGTTTTGATTGCAGGTGTTACTGAGGTCAATGTGACTTTATGGCACGCCGTATCCCTGGAGGAAACTGTGGAAGCCACGGAGATGGTTTTTATGGAATCCATTCATCAGGTTCCGTCACTTAGGAGCTACGGAGGGGAAACGAGAAGAACGAGTCATATGGTGATCGAAGTAACCAAAGCTACGCTCGCGCTGAAGGATTTGTTGCCTGTCGGTAAGGTGAAGAGAGCTCTTGAACATAGGAGGCAAGATCATAAGAGTGATTTTCGGTAATCCTGGCGCCGACGATCTGGAAGACCTACAGGCATACCTCTCCAAATTAGACCGCATTCAGGGAACCTTAGTACATTTGTCCAAGGAACAAGTCACGTTTGCCCGGACGGTGGGATGACAGGCAGAGACCAACACATGCAAAATAGCACAACTGACTGGCATACTGCGAGAGGACATGGAGACGACTCATCTTCGTTTAGATCGAAGTTTCTGCCTTATCATTGTTTCTCAATGCTACCCTCTCCTTGGCAACCAATTTATGCAAACTAGAGATCTCAGTCCTTAAAGCTGCGTTAGAATTAAAGAACCTGTACCGGGGGATAGAGGCCGTTTCACAGGGGATGATAAGTCAATTACTATTGTCTCCATGGGAATTGAGAGAAATACTCAAGACCGTGGACTCTGTTCTATCTCTGGAGTTGAGTTTGTTGGCAGGAACCAGCCCAGCGGACGGAAAACGATACTATCAGATGATGGAAGTGCACGGCGTGGCCACCAAGGGAGCTTCAAGTTGTATTCTGTCGAGTTGCAGCCAGTGCAGGATGAGATTTTGAAGAAGCCAGTCATCCTAGAGGACTATGCTGATTACTTCCTGATATTGAAGGATCGTGAGTATTATGCCATATTGGACAAACGGGATGTGAGGAGGTACAGACGGGCGCAAATATGGGTATGTCTGGCAGAATTTCCAGTAATTCGTCATCCTCAGCCGGCCTGTTTCAGTGCCCTATTCTTGCAAGAAGATGGCAGAGGGGCGGAAAAATGCAAGTGGAAGGTGCTGAACCCTCAGTACCACTCGGCTTAGATTTGGGATGCAGAATGCATATAGTCTGCCGGAACCCACGGTGCTCATGATGCAGTGCAGAAAGAACGGAGTGACCAATATAACCCTGCAGCGGGGACTAAAAGTGGCCCCAGAGTGTGCAATGCGAACCCCAGACTATTACTTCCTACCGATGTCGAAAGGAAACACAGAAATGGCATTAAAGCGGAGAATTACTCTCCTTCCCCTCAGCCAAATACCAGAGCGGAACAGAGTACTTCGCCGGTACGACATAGAATCAGCCCTCAATGAATTAGAAAAAGACGGGAAGGTCGATTCCAGCCAATAGAGTACTACCAAAGTACAGCTAGATGCTTAATCTCTTGTGCTATTCTCAGACGACTCGAAGGGGGCGCTTTGGGAAATCGGGATGCGGCTTTTATGACCCAAAGAAGAAGTATGGACGAAAGATTAGGTTACCGGATGAGGCATCAGCCTTTATCTGTGAGCTTCAAGCAATTAAGGAGGCCCTACTTTATGCCCGCTCAAATACTTCCGATAAATCAACAGTGATAATAATAACGGATTCCAAAAGTTCCTAGGAGGCGATTAAATCAGTCAATGCAAAAAAATTAAACAATTACGTATTACTACAAATAAGGAACTTAATTGTCGAAATGAGAAGAAATAAAACTCCTCTTGTTTTGGATTGCAGCTCACTGTGGAATTTATGGAAATTAAAAAGCGGATTCGTTAGGGAGAGAAGCAACCAGAGAACCAACATTATTTAATATCGGATTACCATACCATGACTAGTATCCAATGGCCAAGGCGAGAGGCATGAATAGTTGGCAGACTCAATAGTGAGAGAGGTAAGGGGCTGCTGTATAAAAAAATGTTTCCTGACATTTCAACAATCAATATTAAAAAAAGCGACATGCAGGTTGATCCAGTCACAGTGTCTGTTAATATTATTTAGAAAAGATAAACCAGGTACAAGACGATAAGTGCACATGTGGTAGCATTGAAACATATAATTGTTCTGTGTGCACTTTACGAAGAGAAACGGAAGAAGATGCTAAGTGCTATAAAAAACATAATGGGAAATATGGTAGGATACTCTTAAGATAATAAGCTCCTGTTCTATCGAGCTGATCTCTACAATAGAGGACTTCTTGAAGAATATAAACAAAAGATTATGATTATACTAAAATAATAGTTATAATTTATTATTGTATTAATTCATTTATTTATTTGCTATTGTTGTTTTTAATTGTTATTTTGAACAAATTGTACATTACTATATGATGTTGCAAGTGGCTCTGGCAATCAGCTGATGCAAAAAAAAAAAAAATATTGGTCTGACATGTCCAGAGAAGAATTTATCTGAGCGATTATGACTCGCAAACACTTTTCCTTTCTATTGGGCAATCTACGGTTTGATAACAAGGCGACAAGAGCCGAACGAAAGCTGGCAGACAAATTTTAATAAAATAAGTTGTAATAAAATATTAAAACTTTAGGAGGGAGATGTCAAATTATCTCTACATATAAGCCATGCGAATTCGATCGAATCCTGATAAAGTGCATAAGTTATACATTCTCATGGATGTACGTCAAGTGTAGACGACATTATTCTTAGCAACTGTGTAAGTAATATAAAACTGCATTTTCTCCCTCTCCTAATTAATTTCTTTACAAGACATTTAAAGTTTATTATTAATTCTCTTTGTCTATGTAGCAGTAGAACATCTCAATACTGTATCCAGTTAGTTTAAATAAAACACTTTCGTTGATTTGCCTGAGGAAATTTGTATATATCCAGCTTCCAGTTATAAAAAGGTGCATTGTAGCATCCACAGAAGGATTAAAAATTATTTATAAAAAGAACAGGCAGATCAGGATGTTCGTAGAAGTCCAAAACATCGAGATCAATACAATATCACACAAAAAATACAGAAATTAAAAACAAATAAATATACATAAAAATTAGGAACGTTATAAGGGAATACAGTCAAAAGTTAAAAATGCCTAATAAAAATTTAAATAAACTATCAATAAAAACATTTAAAAATATTAGTATATACAAATAAATTAAAAAGTAAAAACTGGCATTAACCATAGTCAGAACTAACTGTTAACGAGAACTCACCATCCTTGATGTAAGTATCATGGTACCATTGTCTTGTGTCAAGAAGAACTAAAAATTAAAAAAATATATTTATATTAAATAATTGACAACAAATTAAAAAAAATAAAATATACTCACTAATATCACCAGGTTTTACGGTGAATGTATGACTCGGGCAAATGTCCTCGCATTCCGGCGGTGGATTGAGTCGCCAGGTTTTGTGCCCGCGTAGCTGCGCCTGCCACATCAGCCTGCTTATGTAGTCCAGCTGTTGAAAATCGAGCTTTAATTCTAACGATCGGATGATGTCATTTTATGTGTCTTACGTGCATGTATGCGCCCTTCTGGTATCCCATGAAGACGAAATCGACGTGCGAGTGCTCAGCGTCTTCGGGAAGGAAGTGTGGCTTCTCGTAGAATTTCCGCATTGTCTTTAAAACATCTGCATGGCAGTTGCTCCTTAATAAAAAAAAAAAAAAAAATAATAATAACGAATAAATTTTAATCGCATTACTGCCAAGCTTTCTCCGCTTATAGACGAAATCAATTATTTCTTTAAAAAATTCAAATCAATACATTAAATGATTAAGTACTAAATGAAAAATAAATTAATGGCCTCCTCCAATTTACAAATAAATTTACATAAACAATAAGGGTCAATAAATTTGAATTAGTCTAACTCAGGGGTTAGACAGGGATGTAACTTGAGTCCTTTATTATTCTCCCTTTTCCTCGACGATCTCCCTGATTGTCTTGAGTACGGTATACGCTATGGAAATATTGAAATAAAGACTCTTTTGTATGCGGACGATATTGTGATTCTGTCAGACTCACCGGTTACCCTGCAAAAAAAATATTAATGCCTTAGAGACTTACTGTAATAAATGGAATCTTTTGATCAACCTAAACAAATCCAAAATTATGGTTTTTCGTAGGGGAGGCAGGCTTGCGGCTAATGAACGCTGGTATTTTAATGGCTCTCGCATTGAAACAGTCAGTGAGTATAAATATTTGGGCCTAATTCTCACCCCTAAACTTTCACTCAATGGTCATCTCAAGCGAAAAACTCATATTGCAAATATGCATTGAATTCAATTTGGGCTAAATTCACTTCCAATAATCTTGTCCCGGTGTGCAGCAAATACAAGCTGTTTTTGGCTGTTTGCCGCTCGATTATGTCCTATACTTCCCAGGCTTGGGGTTTCCAGCACTATGAAACAATTGAATCTCTACAACGCTATTTTATCCGTAAAATTTATCACCTCCCTTCTTTCACGCCTAACTACATGATCTACCTCGAGACCTCAGCTGAACTTTTGTTTCAATTTGTAATGCAATGTTGCACACGTCAAGGTTTAAAAAACAGGGCTGCAGACTATTTTAGAAATAATTACATGAAGCATATTTTATTTTTCACCCCCTTAAAATTGTAAATGGTAACTTTTAAATATTAATTAATAATAAAAATAATAAAAATTCTTGATATCCCATCTAGTAAATAAAGGCAACAGAAATTTTTTTAAAGCTTATCGCCGATAATCAGGCTTGTCAATAAAAAACCCATTATGAATTGTCAGTCCTTCTGAAGCTGTAATGACACTAAGCAAACTTAGCTGGAAGCAGCATTATTATACTGTGACAACTTTTTCAAATTTAAAAAATTGGTATTTCAGATTGATGACAAAGCACAATCTGTGGTTAATGTAAAATCGATTTTGGCCATTGTGAATGTAGTGAAAAGTTCGAGGAGTTTAAGCGACTAAATAAAACTCGTTGAAGACGTTAGAAAAACATTGGACAAGGTTAAAAACGAGCAAGGGATTCTAATTTATGACAAAATAAAAGATGTTTTTAGAAAATATCTTGGTTATGAAATTCCCAAAAAATTCAATGATAGAATGGAAATGTTACCATGTACTCCATCGTAGGAGACCGATGTCAATTCTTAAGGTTGTCGCAGGGCCACCGATGCTTCAGTCTTCTGTTGGGATTATTAGGTAATGTGGTGGATGACAGGTTTTTGACGAACAGGTTCGGATGATGGAGTAGTTTGGAATGAAACGTTTTATAATAAAAGGGACATTTAGGTCGGTATGGATAGTGTGATTGGATACACAGAAAGGGGCTTGTACTATTGTTCTGAGGATTTTAGATTGAAGGGATTGGATTCTATTGAGGTTGGAACGCTTAGCAGTACCGTAAAGTTCAAGTCCGTATGTCCAAATGGGGGCCAGGAGGGCAATGTAAAGTTTTCTTTTGTTTATTAGTGAGAGTTTTGATCGTCTGTCGAGTAGTCGTTTAAGCATGAAAAATCGTATATTACAGTCTGTGCGTTTAAGTCGTGTATGGGGGTTCCACGTCAGTCGTTTGTCCAGGAAGAGTCCGAGGTATCGTACATGGTTCGCAATTGGGATGGGGACGTTGTTGAGGTATACTGGTGGGAGTGTTTTCTTGTTTAGAGTAAATATTATGTTCGTTGATTTGGTTTCGTTGATCTTGATTCTCCACCGACGGAGCCAGCATTCTAGGGTGTTTAGGTGATTTTGAAGATTACGGGAAGCAGTGACAGGATCTTTATCAGGAGAAAGGATTGCGGTATCATCGGCAAAGGTGAAGGTGATAGTGTTAGGTTGCGTAGGTAGGTCGGAGGTATAAATTGAATAAAGGAAAGGAGCGAGCACGCTACCCTGGGGGACACCTGCAAGAATAGGATGGATAGGAGACAATGAATTTTTGTGTGATACTTGGAAGTAACGATCGTTAAGATAGGATTTTAGGATAAGGTAATAGGTTGCTGGTAGGATGTTCTTGAGCTTCCATAGCAGCCCAGAGTGCCTTACTCGGTCAAAGGCTTGGTGTATATCCAAGAACACTGGGCAATACTGTTTTACCTCAAGGGATGTGGAAATAACGTCGATTATGCGATGTGCTTGTTGTACAGTTGAGTGGCAACTCCGAAAGCCGAATTGGTGATGGAGAATCGTGTTTGTAGGAATTTCCTTGGTCAAGCGGTTCAATAGGAGCTTTTCCAGTATTTTGCCAATAATGGGCAAAAGACTGATGGGTCGGTAGGAGCTAGGAAGGTGATTTGGTTTCTTAGGTTTTGGGAGAATCCTGATGGAAGAAAATTTCCAGCAGGTGGGGAAATGGGTTGTACGAGTTCAGCGTTGAATAGGTAGGTTGTAAAGATAATGACTTTTTTAGTTAGTTGGGATAGGATGATGGGAGTGATTAGGTCGTAACCTGGACATTTCTTTTAGGATGGCCTGCTTGGCTTCTTTAGGGGAGAAAGGATTTGGAAGGAAGGAGAGAGGTAATGGTTCGTCAAGTTCATTAAGGATTTTTTCAGAATGGTGGAGGTCTTGGATGTCTGGGAGTGGATTGAATAATGCACAGAGGTGTTGGGCTAGGAGTTGATTTAAAAAAAGCTTTTTTTTCATCAGTTTTTACGTAAAATCTAAAATGATTGGGTTTTGCATGTTTCACAGTTTTTCTTGCACATTATAAAATTTTTATGGTAAGGAATTTCACGCATTCGAGTGACTAAGGCATCAACAATGGTTGAAGGATGACCAGAGCTCTTCGTGTACTCAAAATAAAAATTTCCTCTTCTGAACCGAGAAAACCAATTAAATACAGTGCTTTCTCCTAAAGTATCATCCCAAATTTTCCTAGATGTCTGAGGTTGTAATTACAAAAATAAAACAAAATAAAAATAGAAAAATAAATTAATTTATTAAAAAAAATAATAATGAACACCTTGTAAAAATAGAAGATCTCAAACGAAATTGACAAATAAAAACACGGTAACTAATCCCTTTGCAGAGTGGGTAAACACTGATAACTAAATAAACATTGTATCTACACACAATTGTGATAAAGTCGAATTATTGAAAAATCCTATGGTCTTATTTTACAACCCAATAGATAACGTTCTTGCTGCTCTTGAAGGTGGAATCATTAGAGGTAAAAAACAAAGCTTTAGCTCTATGTATCACAAATAATTCAAGGTTAACTAGACGAGCACAACTCTTCATAAACATACGACTGAGCTTATGACTTCTCAAACAATTTGGTGTTTTTGAGGACCGGGGCACACCTCGGCCTCATCCGGTGAACTTAGGCTCAAGGGACTGCCAACAATCTTCATCAACAACTCAGGTCATTACAGCTCTAATCATGCAAACCTAGGCACTCTCGTTCATTATTAAGTACATTATTTCCTATTTACAAGCTCACCTACAGATTCACTATAATAATATAATAAATCTCGATTTAATCTAATTAGCTAATCTAATGGTAGCTTTCTACTGGCATAAAAATATTAATTTTGACTCACAATTAAGTCTTGGAAGGCGTTTTTGGCATTCTCTAAAAATTTTATCCCTCAAGAATGATCAAAATGCTTAAAAAACTGGAAGTCTGTAGGCGAGATTCGGGTAAATATGGAGGGTGCAGTAAGGTTTCATATCTTAAGTCCTTAAGTTTCGCACGGTTGGTATTGTGGCATGTGGCCTGGTGTTATCGTAAAGAAGAGTCAGCCCTGTATGGATACCAATGCTGGACAGGCATTGCAATTTCCCATGCATTTTGTCAATAATTCTCTGCTGTGATAGTTTCACCCTAATTCAGGAAATTATAGCGAACAATTCCAGCAGTACACCACCAAACAATCACCATAACTGTTTTTGGGTGCAGATTTGGTTTCAGGAACTGTCCAACTGCTGTTACTGTACAGGATCCATTTCTCATGCACGTGATGATTCGATCAAGAAATCATTTTGGTGGCACAACTGTAGAGACGTACAAATTTCAAAGAGTCAATTTCTTTGGGCTTTGGTTAATTCATACCCACTTGGTAAAATGAATAAATCTCTACTTGTCAAGCTTCTTTACCGATTTGCTCCAGATGACGAACAATGAATACTGGTCAACACTAAGCTCTTCCACAATTTCTTCAATCAACATAAACGTTGATTACGCCTAAAGGCTTAATACACACGGAGCGTTGAGAAATTATACAGGCTACATCAGGCCCAGTTCAAATTCAAAATTTACAATACGGCCCTATACATCCTGACACATTATTTTAAAGGATTTTTTACGCTGAAAAAGATTGATGGATGCCCCGCACACATTTTGCAAGTGAGAGGTTATGTGAATCAATCTTCTGGGATATGGATAGGAACTCATGGCCCGTTCTGTTGGTCACCTCAGTCATCTTATTTAACTCCACTTGACTATTTTCTGTCGGGCCATTTAAAACAGAGTGTCTACGACAATCATAACGAGCAACCTCAGTTGAAGAACTGAGGCTAAGGATAGAAAATGTTTGTCAATCCATCTCCCTTGACTCTTTCACTCTGAGCATTGGTGAATAGCTGTTAAAAAGAGAAAATCATTGCAAGGCAGGCAAATGTGATTTTTTTTTTTTTTTACTTTTTGCCATAACCTGTCATAATCAGAGACCTGAAGTCCCTAGACAAGATGAAAGCGATACAGCTTTATTGAAATTTTATTGAAAAGCCTAAAACCCTCCCACATTTCAGAGAGAGGAATTCAGATTTTGGCGAACAAACGATAAAATATTCAGCTCCTTGTCCAAATTATGCTGCCGCTTTCTTTTTACCATAATTTTGTCATTTTTTGAACAGTTTAACATCTGATTGCACCATTGATTCTCCAGCTTGATGGGTGCCCCGCACACAATTCTTTGCAGGTGAGACATTTGATTTGTCACTTCTGGGATAGGTGGATAGGACCTCATGGCCTGATCTTTTGGTCTCCTCGGTCACCCGATTTAACTCCTCTTGCTTATTTTCTGTCGGGCCATTTCAAAAACAGCGCCTACGCCAATCATAACCCAGCAACCTCAGTTGAAGAACCGTGGCACAGTAAAAAATGACTTGTCAATCCATCTCCCTTGACTCTTTCGTTCTGAGCAGTAGTGAAGAGCTGTTAAAAAGAGCAAATCATTGCAAGGCAGGCAAATGTGATTTTTTTTAACTTTTGGCTATAACCTGTCATAATCAGAGTCCCGAAGTCCCTGGACAAGATGAGAGAGATACAGCTGAAAATAGTAAGTCCGGGGTACATTTCTAATTTTATTTTTTGAAAAACCGTTCCAACATTTTGGAGAGAGGAATTTGGATTTTCACGAACATACAGTAAAATAATCAGCTCATCATCGAAATTATTTTTTTCTCGTTTTCTTTTTGCCATAACTCATTTTTTGATCAATTTAAATTCTGATTGCACCTTGTTTTCAGCATAAAAAATCCCTTAATGAGTCAGGATGTATAGGGTCGTATTTGAAATTTTGAAGTTGAATTGGGCCTGAAATACTATGTATAATTTTTTCTTAAAAAAGGTAAAAATTTAAAACTAATGTAAAAAATATTAAACCCTTTTTTTATAGTCACTGGATCAATCAAGTCCTTCAGTGTCCACTCTGTATTATAGCTATTATTGTTTTGTATGTTTTATTTTCTGTTTTATTATTGTTATTATATTCACTAGTTTCGTGGTCCGCTTGACCAATTAATATCTTACAATTAATTAAGGTTTTCAGTTGAGATAAAAATGGCAAAAAGGAGGGAAAATTCAAAAGGTGTGGTTGAGATGGGAGGTTGGTGTCCGAGGTCATAATAGCTCAAGTGGTGTATCAAGCCGAAGATCGTGGGTTCGAATCCCGCACGTGCCATTGACTTTTTTATCTCAACTGAAAACCTTAATTAATTGTAAGATTGTTATTATAATTTCTTTCTAATATAAATACACGTAAGGTGGCATAAAGCCCTATTTGTACGTTTAAAATAAATAAATGTTATCAAATGAAGATTCGAGTAGGGATTTTGGATAATCCGTTTAAGACGGTAATAAGTTGTTGCCAACTCACCAGCCGACGTACCAGGGTCGAGTGCCTGCGGAGAGGTTGGCACGTTCCTCGGGCATTTGAAATACGTCGCGTAGACTGTAGAGGTCCGTTTTAAAATTGAGAAACTGGCACTCGTCCTCGACGCTGTCGTACGCGCCTGGAGTCGCCTCGAACAACACCCTGAAAAACTCGTAGTCGAAGTCCGAAGCGGCTGGCCACCATTTAGCAGCGTCACGAACCACAATCGGCCTGGAAAAGTTTCTCTTTAAACATAAGACAAATTAAAATGAGTAAAATAAGGAAAATGTTTACCTGTAGGAATACGCGAAAGGTTCGAAATCTTTTCTGGTGACGTTGTCCAAGTAGAGAACGTCCGTTTGACAGATTCGACAGTCGGCGAGAGGCCTCGTCGCCTCCCAGACGAAGTAATTGTTCGGCAAGATGCATTTAACACCGAGGGCTTGTTTGACGACGACGTCCAAAAAAGGCCGGAGGCTCCAAATGAAGAACGCGACGAAGGCGATCCACGTCAATCTTACACCGCGACGTCGTGCATTTCCCGATCTGGCCAGTTGACGCAAATCGCTCACCCTGTGGCCCTTTTTCAACAGGGACGAGTGCAAATTAATAAACCTTTCACATAGCAAATGGGATTTCAAGTCAAGAGGAGAAACTTCGTCGAGGTTACGCGGAGCCATCGCGGATTGAACGGCTGTTCAAAGTTCACGCTAGGTAGGCATCGATGTTCGATGTTTTCAACATCGATGTTACTTTGTCAATCGTATTTAATTATTATTATTATTATTATAAAAGGCGATCAACCGCTTTGGGTAATTTTCCACCTTAAAAACTTTCACATAGCAAATGGGATTTTAAGTCAAGAAAAGAAACTTCGTCGAGGTTACACAGAGCTATCGCGGATTGAACGGCCGTTCAAAGTTCACGCTAGGTAGGCATCGATGTTCCATGTTTTCAACATCGATGTTACTTTGTCAATCGTGCTTAATTATTATTATTATTATTATTATTTTTAATATATATTATTATTATAAAAGGCGATCAACCGCTTTGGTTCAATTTCCGCCTAAACAACTTTCACATAGCAAATGGGATTTTAAGTCAAGAAAAGAAACTTCGTCGAGGTTACGCGGAGCCATCGCGGATTGAACGGCTGTTCAAAGTTCACGCTAGGTAGGCATCGATGTTCGATGTTTTCAACATCGATGTTACTTTTTCAATCGTGCTTAATTATTATTATATTTTTATATATATTATTATTATAAAAGGCGATCAACCGCTTTCGGTCATTTTCCGCCTTAAAAACTTTCACATAGCAAATGGGATTTTAAGTCAAGAGGAGAAACTTCGTCGAGGTTACGCGGAGCCATCGCGGATTGAACGGCTGTTCATCCATGTTTTAGGGTGAGATATAACAAAATTACTCACACATGCTGATGACGTATCTCTGGTTCTTCTTCTTCCGACAATGTAGGAGTTATCTGCCTGTAGATTTGCCTGTAGAAGGAAGAAATTTTCTGCGATGTATTTCTCTCTTCTTTACTTTAATGTTTTAAAGTCGGCCAATTTAGCGTTCTTTCTTTCAGACAGCGGGTTAAGAGCTAATGCTCACGTTCGGAAATTGATCGCGCAATAATCGTGAAAATAATAAGTCAAATGGACTTACTAAAATCTGTGGACTTCCGCTGTACCTGTTCACGGGCGCCAGTTATAAGTTTGGAACACCAAAGGCCGTTTTGAAAAAAAGATTTATTTACTTTAAAACATACAGAGAAGATTACAGAACAGAAAAGGCGAGAGAATCGTCAGAAGGATGTCGTACGTCCGAAGAACGGGGAGAAATACGCGCTGTTTAAGATAAGCGCCGGGTTTATATGAACTCGTAATGCAGAGTCAGCTGGGGCAGTTCCTTCAACTCTTAACTTATGACCTTCAATGCCTGCATGTCCTCGAATCCAACAGAAAACCATCTTTTTCCCCCTTTTTTTTTTAATCTAGACGATTATTAACTTCTTCGGACATGAAGTAATCGCATTTGGAGTTGCTTTGCACATTCCTTAACTGAATTATCGCGCTCTTACTGTCCGTAAACATGCAGCTTTTAAAAATCTCCTTTGAGCACAGTATGTAGTCCAACGCATTGCTTAAGGCAAAGGTTTCTGCAGAGTATATGGTACAGGGGTCTGGGAGAGAGAACTTCTTGAAGTGGTGTGAATAACAATCGTAATAGGCACATCCTACTTTGCCTCCAAGGCCGGACCCATCCGTGAATACAAGACGGAAGTTGGGAAATTTATTGTTTATTAATTCTTGAAATAGTTTATTTCCTACTTTTGCAGGATAACACGAAAAATCTTCTATCAGAACCAAGGAAGGTTTTCTAATCATAGCTTCATAACTTATCTTGTATATTGGAGGAATTCTACTTTTGAACACCCGGTAAAGGTCTGGGATTGAGGAAAGAAAGGTTGACACAATCGGGGGCGAATTCTTTTTAAGCCAGTTCTATCCGTGTTAACGAGCTGAGCCAAATGGCAAATTTTTGGAACTAGGAATTTTCCTTATGATGTAGGTCTATGATTTTATCGGTACTGAGATTAATCCTCCTGCATTTCAGAGGAGGTTCACCAGCTTCAGCCGACAAAACTACCAGAAGAGTACTCGGAAGGCTACGGAGAATACGTCGGAGACATTTGTTAACGAACCTATCTATTTTCCCCAACATTGCGTCTGTCTTAGACCTTACTAAATTTCCTAAGAAGAGTACTCCCCCCTACATGTACAGTAAGAATTTTATAAAATAATAGATATCTTTTCGAATCCCACACAATGTTTTACAGATGGCTCAAAAAATGTAGGGACAGGTGCTGCCTTTTTCATTTATAATAATAATGCACAATATATGTTTACCCTACCACCTATATGTAGCAGCTACACTGCTGAGATTATAGCTATAGCTAAGTGCTTAACTACATTAGCCCCATCCAGGGAAACGATTGACATCTGTACTGATTCTTTGTCGGAGCTATTGACCCTTAAAAACAACTTTTCTGTACATCCATTGATACAAGACAGTCATTCAGGGGCTGGTATACACAGCGGTATAAAACCTATGATAACCTGCGGTGGTTTGGTAGCGAAGGCAGAGTTGAAGACAAGATCCTCAGTACTGCTCACAAACTAGCCTGCCTGGACATTACTGGAAAAAGATGATAACCCACAAAGTTACCCTTGAAGTCGTCCTGAATCTATCACCACTACACGTCTTCATCCAGGGAGAGACTAGAGTCACTATTCATTGGCTGGTAGATGTAAACGCCTTTGTAGGAAAAGCTGAGGGCTAAATTCAACGACTTATGGTTATACACAGCGCTGTAAAACCTATGATAACCTGCGGTGGTTTGGTAGCGAAGGCAGAGTTGAAGACAGGATCCTCAGTACTGCTCAGAAACTAGCCTACCTGGACATTACTGGAAAAAGATGATGGCCCACAAAGTTACCCTTGAAGTCGTCCTGAAACTACCACTACTACACGTCTTCATCCAGGGAGAGACTAGAGCCACTATACAGGGGCTGGTATACACAGCGGTATAAAACCTATGATAACCTGCGGTGGCTTGGTAGCGAAGGCATCGTTGAAGACAAGATCCTCAGTACTGCTCAGAAACTAGCCTGCCTGGACATTACTGGAAAAAGATGATGGCCCACAAAGTTACCCTTGCAGTCGTCCTGAAACTACCACCACTACACGTCTTCATCCAGGGAGAGACTAGAGTCACTATTCAGGGGCTGGTAGATGTCAACGCCATTGTAGGAAAAGCTTAGGGCTATGGTTATACACAGCGGTCGTAAAACCAATGATAACCTTCTGTAGTTTCGTGGACTTAGACATTTTAGCTAAGGTCCACAATACTGCTCACAGGCTAGCGTACTTGGACATTATTCGGGCAATGAAGACTTGCAATTCTGCCCTAGACTTACTTCTGAATTTGTTACCGATAGATCAACGGGCCCTAGAGGCTTAATTCACACACTACTCTATATCGGAAAAGGAGTCATTAAAGCTTCGGGAGAAACTTCATGCAGACAAAATACACGATATAGCAAGTAGGAAAAATGGAATTCAGTTAATGCCGACTTTATCTAGTAAACAGATCGCTCCAAGACGGAGGAGCTAGTATCTATGGAAATAAGACACCTACCTGCCCTAAACCCTTTTGCAGCGTACCTAATTTCCAATTACAACAAATCCATCAGAAAATTGGTTAAGAATAAGTCTTTGGTTCAATGGGTATAGAGGTGAAACAGTTCACTTAAGGGTCATCGAAGAAATCGACGCCAGTACTGCTAAACTTACGTCGTGTTAGTAGAATGATAGTAGGACGCTAAGTCGACACTGCAGATTCCGGAGGCATATGCTCAAACTAAATACATAACAAGAAAAATATATCTTCGGTCATATTTTATGAACGGAAGTTCGTACCATTACGAGTAGGTTATAGGCTCTCACTCATCAATGGAAGGAGCGGGATCAGTTCTCAGCGACCCAGAATTTGGTCCCAACCCCCTTCAAACAAGAGTTTCTTCGATGGAAGAACACCGGAGGCTCAAATTCACACTCGTATTGCGAGTACCCCAAGACCTGTTGTATAGATTGTAGCTTCTTGAAGTTACAATCTAACCTTTCATCATATCCTAAACCTTCCATTTAAGCACTATATACTATCTCCTCCACCTCAAAAGACGTTTGTCCAGAGATCTACAATCGTCTCCTAATCCCTCAGTTGAATTTGGTAGACTTTAACTTTTTTCACAATTGAATTGGCATATATGATTTCATTTTTAAATTATGTTATAATTTTATTGTGATATTGTTTTCTATAATTATTTATGCATCAAATCTTGCCGAATCGTTCGTGATTTATTTTATTCAATTCCATATAAAAGCTGTTACTCGGGGTCTTCACATATTATTGGGTCCAACCCTCAGGGGTGCATTGACAATCTTGGGGGGTGGGTGGATAAGGGAAGCTCAAACAACCCCTGGCCATCCCCTGGACAAAAGTAAGTTACAAACAGTCCCGTTTGCACAGATGTGTTTTATATCTTAAGCTCAATTAAAAAAAAAGAAAAAAAAAGAAACGGCCTGTTTACTGAATATTTTTCAGATAATAAAGGAAAAAAGAAAATTCGCTAGATCTCGTTAGAAAAGATTTTTTGGTTAAATCTTTTTTTTCGAACGGCGTGTATGTTCTCCAGAACGTGCGATTTGGTGTTTCAGAAACCATTTACTTGGACGTTTTGCAGTTATTTTTTTCCGTCAGCCAGCCGCTTTCGGAAGAAGATAAATGATTCCTTGTCTCCAGCATGAGAAACGAGTTTTCATCTAAACATGCTCTACTAAAATTAAGATTATTAATATTTACGAGTTAGGTTTCTCCATCTTGTCTAAGAAGAGTGATAAATAAAATAAAGGTGTTTTATTATAAATGATATTTTATGTTTCAATATTGATGGATAACAGTAAAAACTGTTCACATTATAGGCTGATTTAGCTTGCGTTGGGTTGGTCCCACGTTGGGCCTTTTACAAATGGAGCCCAGAAAATATATTGAAATAAGCGCAACCAGAGTTTGTTATATATCTTACGCAAGTTCGTGATAAATACTGGGCCATGATAAGGTCTGCGTATGACGCTGGAAATTTACATAATCGCTGTATGACAAAGCGTGAGAAATATATTTTCAAAATCGTAGATACTTGTTAGATTAAGGAGAAGGGAAAGAGAGTGAGTAAAAGGGGAAGAAAGAGGGGAGAGAAACAGAGACACACTGACATGAACACAGATCGGGAAAGGATGAAAGAAAGATACACAGTTATAAGTAGAAGAGACGGTCAGTTTTGAGAGATACTGAAGAGGGAGCTAAAGTTCATACTTTAAAATGAGAAATAGAGAGACTGAGAGAAAGAAAGAGATTTCTTTTTTTTTACGATGGATACCATGACCAGGAGATGTTCCCCTGAGCACTACAGCCGTACAAGTTATTCTACTTTATCGCTGGCTCCATTTTTTTTGGAGGGGGGCTCGCAACATAAATGTGAATTTGAGCCCCCGGTGTGCCGGTGTTCTTCCATCGAAGAAACTCATTTTTGAAGGGGGTTGGAACCAAATTCACGGTCGCGGAGATCTGATCCCGTTCCTCCCATTGATGAGTGCCATGTCGATTTCTTTCAATTGCGGCCACCGGTCCCCTTAGGCGTCAGAAAAAGTCCAGAGGCGACGGTGCGGATCGAACCCATGACCGCAGGATCTACTGGCCGAGAGTCTGACACCTTAACCACTCGGCTACCGCGGTCCCTCTAAGAATGAGATAATAAAAAGCTCAGTAGAAACAAAAGTGAAAAATGACAATAATTATCAGATTTTTTTAATACAATGGATACCATGACCTGGAGATGTTCCCCTGAGCACTACAGCCGTACAGGTTATTGTACTTTATCGCTGGCTCCATTTTTTTTGGAGGGGTGCTTGCAACACGAGTGTGAATTTCAGCCTCCAGTGTTCTTCCATTGAAGAAACTCTTGTTTGAAGGGGGTTGGGACCCAATTTTGGGTCGCTGAGATCTGATAACGCTCCTTCCATTGATGAGTGCCGTGTCGATTTCTTTCAATTGCGGCCACTGGTCCCCGTAGGCGTCAGAAAAAAGTACAGAAGCGATTGTGGGGATGGAACCAACGACGGGGATCTACTAGCCGAGAGTGTAACGCCTTAACCACTCGGATACTGTAGCCCCTCCTATCAGAACGTTAGAGGGAGCGAGAAAGAGTGAGAGGGGGAGACAGACAGACATAGAGAAAGAGAGAGAAAATATTGAATCAAGGTGGGATAGCAAAACCAACACATTAAGGCAATAAGATAGAACAAACAACCATAGAACTACAAGCGAACCTCGGCAGATCCCAATCTGCAACGTCTGCATTGACTCGTCGGTCGAACAATAATCGATAATCGAAGTAAGGAATAAAGTGAAAACGAAGTATATCTATCCTTTTGTCTTATCCCAACCCTTCCATTCAAGCACTCTATACTATCTCCTCCACGTCAACTTAAAAGACGCTCGTCCAGATATCTTCGTCAAGAGGAAGACAGATGGCTACATAGATAATAAATAGAGTATTTATGAGAAAGGGGGATAGAGAGAGAGAAAGATTGCAGTATGCAATTAATATTTATTATTAAAGTATAAAACATAGAGGTAGTCAGGTTTTGTGAGAATTGAAATAGATAGATATAGAGAGATAAAGAGTGAGAGAGAGAGTGAGAAAGAGAGAGAAAGTGAGAAGCAAATAAGTACGTTGGTAAAAACTTAGAATAATAAACGAAAGAGTGAGAGAACAGGAATAAGATAAAGAGAAGAGAAGAGGAATGTTTTCCATGTTCAGGGGATCCTTCAATATAACTTTTATGAACGTCGAGGATGATAGTAATATGCAAATATGTGCTGAAACGTATATGCAGTACTTACAATTCGCTATCATTCTGGCCTTGACAAAAGTTTAAAGTTTTAGTGTGGGTAGGTCAGACGTATAGAGTAAGTAAGCAGAGGAGGAGGATGATGGCCTGTCGGACGTGTGCTAGAATATAATAAACAGGAAATATTCAAGTTTATGGGATGTTTAGAAGTGATGACCGGTGAAATCTTAGCATAAGGTTCCTAGTTTATTTAAAATTTCCTTCCAAAGGAAACCGTACAAGGGGTTAGAGCCTATAACCTGCTCGTAATGGTACGAACATGGCTTCCGTTCATAAAATATGACCGAAATATATTTTTCTTGTTATGTATTTAGTTTGAGCATATGCCTCCGGAATCTGCAGTGTCGACTTAGCGTCCTACTATCATTCTACTAACACGGCGTAAGTTTAGCAGTACTGGCGTCGGTTTCTTCGATGACCCTTAAGTGAACTGTTTCACCTCTATACCCATTGAACCAAAGACTTATTCTTAACCAATTTTCTGATGGATTTGTTGTAATTGGAAATTAGGTACGCTGCAAAAGGGTTTGGGGCAGGTAGGTGTCTTATTTCCATAGATACTAGCTCCTCCGTCTTGGAGCCATCTGTGTACTAGATAAAGTCGGCATTAACTGAATTCCGTTTTTCCTAGTTGCTATATCTTGTATTTTATCTGCATGAAGTTTCTCCCGAAGCTTTAATGACTCCTTTTCCGATATAGAGTAGTGTGTGAATTAAGCCTCTAGCGCCCGTTGATCTATCGGTAATAAATTCAGAAGTAAGTTTCTGAGGCTAGTTTCTGAGCAGTACCGAGGATCCTGTCTTCAACTCTGCCTTCGCTACCAAACCACCACAGGTTATCATAGGTTTTACAACGCTGTGTATAACTAAACCATAAGTCGTTGAATTTAGCCCTCAGCTTTTCCTACAAAGGCGTTTACATCTACCAACCACTGAATAGTGACGGTAGCCTCTCCCTGGATGAAGATGTGTAGTGGTGGTAGATTCAGGACGACTTCAAGGGTAACTATGTGGGCCATCATCTTTTTCCAGTAATGTCCAGGCAGGCTAGTTTCTGAGCAGTACAGAGGATCTTGTTTTCAACTCTGCCTTCGCTACCAAACCACCGCAGGTTATCATAGGTTTTACAACGCTGTGTATACCAGCCCCTGAATAGTGACTGTAGCCTCTCCCTGGATGAAGATGTGTAGTGGTGGTAGATTCAGGACGACTTCAAGGGCAACTTTGTGGCCATCTGCTTTTTCCAGTAATGTCCAGGCACGCAGGTTTCTGAGCAGTACTGATGATCCTGTCTTCAACTCTGCCTTCGCTACCAAACCACCGCAGGTTATCATAGGTTTTACAGCGCTGTGTATAACCATAAGTCGTTTAATTTAGTCCTCGGCTTTTCCTACAAAGGCGTTTACATCTACCAGCCCCCTGAATAGTGACTCTAGCCTCTCCCTGGATGAAGATGTGTAGTGGGAGTGGATTCAGGACGACTTCCAAGGTAGCTTTGTGGGTCATCCTCTTTTTCCAGTAATTTCCAGGCAGGCTAGTTTCTGAGCAGTACAGAGGATCTTGTCTTCAACTTTGCCTTCGCTACCAAACCACCGCAGGTTATCATAGGTTTTACAACGCTGTGTATACCAGCCCCTGAATAGTGACTCTAGCCTCTCCCTGGATGAAGATGTGTAGTGGGAGTGGATTCAGGACGACTTCCAAGGTAGCTTTGTGGGTCATACTCTTTTTCCAGTAATTTCCAGGTTGGCTAGTCTCTGGGCAGTACTGAGGATTCCGTCTTCAGCTATGGTCTACCAAACTACTGCAGGTCATAGGTTTTGCAACGCCGTGTATAGCCATAAGATGTTGTATTTCCTCAGCTTCTCCTACAAAGGCATTTACATCTACCAGCCTCTGAAGAGAGACCTCTCCCTTATCAAGATAATTAGTAATCGTAGATTCAGACGACTCCCAGGGCAGTTGTATGATGTTCCTCATTGCTCCAGCAATGGCCGAGACACTTTAGCCTCTGCGAGTACTATGATTCAGGCTCATCTCAGTGGTTATATCCAACATACCACCCTAGGTTATCGTTGATCTTATAATTACTGTGTCCATAAGGATATCTTGGATATCCGCTCATTGTGTGATTTTATTCAGTTGCTGATTCGAAGAAGGTCTTTGGTCAATGATGATGCGTAGGTTTTCATTTCTATAAAGAAGGACATAGTGCCCTTTTCTTGGTACAATAATAAAACCATGATGGTCTATGTTGGAGTGCTTGCCGAATTGGTTGATGTATGAATTAGGCTCGTAAACCTCAAGTTAGACCAAAAAAGTTCTAGGTATTTATACTTGTTTTCTAGGGAAACTACTCTGCTTAGTCGGTCCTTTTATCTCCATATGATCCAATGGGTTCCCCAATCAGGAGAGAGAGCTTTTGAGCTCTTAAATCTTCGAATCCAGCTGTCCTGAGTTCGAACTCAACTTACAAATGGGCAGTTATTTCAAAAACACCGGCACCCTGAATGACCTCTACTGTTGCAAACTCCCGTTTAAAAAGCTTTAGACGTTGTCTTTCTCCACCTATTGTTATAAGTGAACACATCGCAAGGGGGGAAAAAGCCGTGGAGTCTGAAATACACTTCATAGTATAAAGATTGAGCCAAGTGTAGGAATTTTGGAGAGGTGGGGCGACCCCTGCCGCCTCTTTATCCCTTCTCCGCCCCCTTCGAGCCCTTCGAACGCCGCCCCCTTCAGTACAGTATGTGCCACGTTAGTGAATATACATAAGCCCTCAGATTCAATTTTCATTCACTGCGTCCTGTAAGGAAACAGCAGGGGAAAAAGCCGTAAGTTCGACTCATCTAACAATTGTATGGTCTATTTTAAAGAAGGACGTAGCATTTAAATCGGTTCTAACATCGATAGAATTTGTTCAAATTTCTCTGTTGAACACACGTGACTCTAAAACTTAATATTCTCGTGTTTTATATTACATAATTTTTTTAGTGTTTATATCTGAGTATTTATTATCGAAATTGTAAAAGGAAAAAATGAAGAAAGAAAACGATAAACTAGAGGAAAAACATAATCTAGATATGACATTTAGCTAAAATTACTTCCAGGACTGGCTATAACTATGTAGCACACAATAAAAGATATTTAAAAAAAATCAAACTTAATGATGATAAGTACAAAGTAATAAGTAATTTTATTAACGAGTTCAGAAAGATAGAAGGGTAAGTAAATAAACATCATACATTACCATTTCCTAAACAACACGTTGTTTCTGTCAAGCGTTTTGACATTTAACAACCATCAATTGCGGTCAAATTCCTTTTATTCGGGCAGTTTTTATTAACAGAAGCCAGAATGATAGCGGAATGAAACTGGATATACTTCAATATCCGTTTCATCTCGACATCATTCCATCCTCCATAAATACAATGACGGATTAAATTCGGTTTGGTATTTTTCCAGGATTTATCTGCACTTAGTGGCGAAGGTACGTATAAAGTAAAAAGTTAAAAAAATTCAAATGTACGTGTGTCGTACTGTAAGGGTTGTTGAAAATTTTATTATTTGTACTCTTTTAATTTCCGGTCGCCCTGGTTATGGCCATTATCATCTCAGTGCGGTCATGGTTTATAAATAGTGCCTGGATTGATGATGGGGTGCTAAAGAATGTTTAATTTTCAATACGTAAAAAGCATAGGTAGATCACTGAGGTCTGTTACATAAGTTTCACAACATGGCTAACCTACATTTTTGCTTACCTAGTTAATTAACTAAAATTTGTTAATAGGTCAAAGCTTACAACGGTTTTAGCTTTAAGAGTATTCTTGTTTAGAAGGTCCAGATTTTTAAAAGTTGGATTATTTTGCCTGTACGATAAATTGTTTAACCCATTGCACTTGCGTACCTTTTGGATATGGAGGCTAAAATGATAGCGGGATGTAAGTAAATATACCCCGAATATAAATCACATTCTGCTATCATTCCGATTTCTACGAACAAACTTTTTTTATCCGACTTAACTTTTTGTACCCAGTCACTTCCCGAACTTTCTGTTTCTGGGCCTGCTTAGCTTCAAGATAGTTCTCCTTCAGCACAGCTAACGATTTTTTTAAGTAGCCATGGATGGTTTTACCTGTACGACACGTTTTATTGTTTAAGGCGTTGTACTCACGTACCGTTTGATTAAGGAGGGTAAAATAATAGTGAGATGTAAGTAAATGGACATCAATTTATGTCACATTCTGGCTGTGTTTTTTATCCGGCTTTCCTTTCTTAACACCGAGTCGCTTCTCCAAAAGTCAATGCTTACCATGATTTCTAGGCCTGCTTAGTTAGAATATGCTCCTTCTTTTACAGGTTTGTCCCGGTTTTGCAAGTTTCCATGGATGATTTTGCTTGTCTGACATGTTCCATTATTGAACATACGTGGTGATACGTTACATCCTGCTATCGTCCTACCATCCGTGTATAAAAGATGACTTTTTATCGTGCTTAGAACGGCTGACTTAACATTTTTCTTATTCAGTTACTTTCCAAAAAAGTCAATGATTTCGGTTTCTGGGCTGCTAGATGCGTTTTCTTTAGCATGATTCCCGGCTTTTTCCATGAGTTATTTTGCCTGTTCATAATTACCGACTTGTGATCGGGTGCCTTCTGTACACGGACGCCAGAATGATAGCACAATGTAAGTAAATATACGTCAGCAAAGTTACTTTCTGCTGTTTCTGAGCGTGTTTATCTAAAAGACGGTTCTGTTTTTAGAAGTTTGTCTTTTCGCATTTGCTTGTTATTATTCTGGCATCCATTTATAAATTTTTTTTTATCCGGCTTAGGGTAAAATAAATATTGATAATTAAACCTGCTTAAAAGAACCATCAAGGTAAACGTGCTCAGAAACCGAGGTAAGCATTTATTTTTTTGTAAGTTTGCCAATCGTATTAAGCCGGTAAAAAGTCGTATTTTATAAATGATACTGGAATGTTAGCAAGATGTAACGCACGTTGGCATATATTTACCTACATCGAGCTATAATTCAGCCCTTTGTTTACAAAAAATAAGCCATCGTATTTAGTCAAATGATGGTTTCGTACAGGCAAAAACATCCTTGGAAACGCATATTAATAACTCATTATGAGTGAAACCATTTAATAAATTGTTAAATTAATTTTAATCTACTATGAAATTTCTCGTTGTTTTGGTGAATTTTCTTTCAAACCATCATAATTAAATATTTTTGATTAAAACTCATGATTTTGTGAACTCGTTTAATTTGGTTTACGTTAAAATAAGTATGTTTTAATTAATATAATGATAAAAATGTATGTAGTTTGAAATAAATAACAAAATACTAGTGTCGGTTTTTTTTTGTCCTTGGGTGTATTCCTTGGATAAAGCATCTGCCATCGTCTTGACATAAAACCAAGCTTTTATTTAAAACAATTAATATTTAACTTTTTAATCAAATTTATTGTTTCATCAAAGAGAAAAAATTAAAAACCCAATTAAGTCACTCGGCAAGTGGCTCTGGAAGGATGAAATTGAACTGAATTTATTTAGTATTGATCTTAACCGGGTAAAAGGATTCGTGCCACTTTGTGAAGTTCAACAAGTTATTAATTTTGTGTTTATAATTTAAGTCAACTAATAATGTTTTTATTTAGTTATTATGGGAAATAAACAAGTAAACCTTTTATTTTCTTTGAGTTTATATGGCTCGCCAGCGTTTATGTAAACGCCATGTTCGATCCAGGTTTAATCTAGATGTTTTCATGGTTTACATTAAAATAAATATTTTGTAATTAATATAACGATAAAAATGCATATAATTTGGAATAAACAACAAAATCCAAGTGTCCGTTTTTTGTCTTAGAGGGCAAACTGCTGACCTCTTTTTATGTAAACGCACTGTGCGATCTACATCCGACCTAAAGAACGGAGTTTTAATAGTGATGTTTTGTCGCTAATCTTAGACCTTAACAGGGAATTAATTAATTTCCTCTTGCTCTATGGACACCGATGGATAAATAGCGGGTAGGGCCCACGCCAAAATGTCGTTTAGTACTATTTAATCTACTGTTAAGCCTTTAGCACTTCCATCCGTCTCTGCCTTTACGCATGAAAAATTGACGCGATTTACTTTGAAAAAACCGCCCCATTGTATTGATGATTGCAGTCTGTTTTGGCCAATACACGTTGCCAATAAAACATTTTGCTGAAAGGATTTCCAATTTTCAAAATCGATCCGACGATTCTATTGCATTATTATGAGATAAAACTGTAGAATAAAAAACGTCGCATTTGTGTTGTAAAACATAAAACATTTATACCATGGATCAAATTGTACACAGGCTGGTTTAAGTGAGATTAATGGGTTATAAATAAATTACCTTTTTTGATGCCCGAATCAATGGTGTGATATATTCACCTGGCGTGTTTCCAATTTTTTGTTTTAAATATATATTATTTCCTTTTAGCCTTTGTACATGGAGGTCTTAGATCATCCTATTTTTGCTGGTTTTGTTTGTCAGATACTTTTTACCTAGTAAACTTGATTTTTATCAATGTAACGCAGAATGGTAGGAGGATGTAACGTAAATTCGCGTATATTTGCTTTCATTCCGCTATCATTCTGGCTTCCGTTTATGAAAGATACGCGATCACAATTGGTTAAATGATAAAACTTGTGGGACTGGCAAAACACCCATGCAAACAAAAACCAACAAACCTGCTAAACAAGTCGTTTTCTTCATGGTACGCCCCCAAAATCTATGGTAAGCAAGGTCACTTAAATAAATTTTGGGCAAGATAAACCTTAATTTTTATGGATGAGAAATTGACGGGATTTACTTTCAAAAACTGCCCCAGTAGTTGATTGCAGTCTGTTTTGACCAATCCCAATGCAAAGACATTTGGCTGAAAGGATTTCCAATTTTCAAAATCGATCCGACGTTTCTTTACGAAAAAAAAAAACTTCAATTTACGTTATAAAATGCTGTATTTGTTTCGTTAAACATGAACCATTTACTACCGTCTTGTTTTCGTGAGATTAATGGGTTTTAAGTAAATTACTTTTTTATCCTCGAATCAATGCTGTGATATATTCACCTGTCGTGTTTCTATTTTTTTTTCGTTCGGAACCTTGTACATTGTTGGTCATCGTGGTATGCCTTACCTTGGTGGTTTTGTCTGTTAGACGCGTTTTAACACAGTACTTGACAACGTTGGGACTGAATCTTTCTTCAAGGAAATTAGAGATCGCCTGTAAAAAACATTAAATATGTCAATGTGTAGGTATATGTTAGATTGTTTTGCCCTGATGACGCCCATAAAATAGGTCGAAAGCTTGGAATTAACATCTGAGTTTGCTTTGTTATTTACGACGTATCTTGATCCAGAGTGTGGCAAGATAATCTGTAAAACAGGAGTTCTAAGCCACCTAAAAAATCCTCTTTCAGTTTCAGGATGGTTTTGTTTGTCCGGCAGTTTTCGTCATTTGACTATGATCGCTTATTTATGCTAAGCGAAGTTCTGAATAGCTCGTAAGTACACGTCAAGATTTATAACACGTAGGTATCATTTTTGCATCGGTTAATAAAGGGCCACTTGTTATCAAGCTTAAATCCTCTTGCTAAGGTTTATCTTGCCCAAAATTTATTTATAAGTGATCATACTTACCATAATTTTTGGCGGCGTAGCATGAAGTAAACTTCTTGTTTAGCAGGTTTGTTGGTTTTTGGTTACATGGATGTTTTGCCAGTCTCACAAGTTTTATCATTTAACCAATTGTGATCGCGTATCTTTCGTAAACGGAGGCCAAAACGATAGCGGAATG